GTCTCTGGGTGGAACAACCTTTATGGCACAAGTCCTGCTCCAAAGTTCCTGTTGGGCTCAGGCTGAGACCCACCTCTTCCTGGACCCACATCTTTGCAGAGCTTCTTCCTCTACTCCATTCCTTTCCCCCACTTCCCTTCTCTGTTTCTCTTGAGAACAGCCCTTAACAACTCACTGGCCCAAGAATCACCTCTGACTGCTGGTAGGGAACCGACCTCTAGCAGTTCCTGTCTTCTTGGTGTAGGCTGATTTGTTTTGCAAAATAGTACATAGGTCTTGTAAATAGCACATAGAAAGGTTATCTTAAAAGGTCTGGTAATTTATTGTCCACAATGTTACTTGAGACAAATAAACAAAAGACCTTAATTTTTTTTTTTTTTTTTGCCATTGGGGGTGGAAATCTTAGATACACAGCATTGCTGAGGCTAATTCCACAAAAATCAGGCCTTTTGCTCACAAGAATAAGTTTTTGCATTAAAACAGTGACTCTGGGGAAGAATGAACGAACACGTGTACAAAGTGAGATAGTAAAACAAGGTACAGGCTAGATAGAGTGTGACAGAGGCCTGTATGCTGTTTTGGAGCTTCAGTTGGCCCTGGACAGGAGCCAGCACTCTGTGACTGGAAGGGAAGGGGGAAGGGGGAACCGAATCTGCCAAGGCCAGGAGGTCTTGAGTTGGCTGGAGTGGAGTGAGTCAGGTGGCAGGAAATGAGGTCACGGGGATAGGCCTTCAGTAAATAGCTGACACATGACTGGAGCCTGTGCTCAGTTTTCTCCTTGCACGCATTAATTCATTTGATCTTTACGACAACCCTATGAAGCACAGAGAGGTGAAGTGGTAGTGGGCAGTTAGGTGTGAACAGAGCCCAGTGATAGGCCAGTTATAGAAGGTCACCAGGGTGGAAAGCCCCAGGTGCCCAGCAATGGACAAGTGTAGGGTGAGACCTCAACCTCAGCATGACCTTTCCTCCCCTAGCATATCCCTGGCCAGGTGGTTTGGACTCCCTGACCTTTCCCATCACTAGCCATGCGGTTCGGACCCTTCCCTGACCTTTCCTCCACTGGCATGTCGTTATTCATGTGGTGTAGGTCCCCTCACAGCAGCAACAAGGGGCTGGAGAATAGCCTCAAATGACCCCCATACGAGCCCTTACCTGACCTCTCCCTGCAGGCATTAAGCCCTAGAGATAACATCTAGGCCTCAGTTGTGTGCGTTTTTATTGTCTACAATGTTATTTGACACAGGCCCAGAAAAGCAGCAATACCAGGTAAGGCATTGCCATGGCAGCATCAGGACCGGCTGTAATGAATAATGACACCCTGCCCCTGTCCCCTTCCCCCTCCAACCAGACCTGGCACCATGGAGACCACAGCCCTTCCACATGCAACAAAGAATTACCCACCCCGAATGTCAGGAGTGCCCAGGTGAGAGCCCCTGCTGTAAACCTGACCTATTTTTTCACACTCTCCACAACTCTTATTGCTGTATAATGTCTTTTCTTATATAAAACAATATTTTCGCCTGGCTGGTGTAGCTCACTGCGATGCATATGATCGAGGTTCGATTGCCAGTCAGGGCACATGCCTGGGTTGCAGGCCAGTTCCCAGCAGGGGACTCACGAGAGGCAACCACACATTGATGTTTCTCTCCTTCTCTCCTTACCTTCCTCTCTAAAGATAAATAAATAAAATCTCTTAAAAAAACAATATTTTCATTCTTGTCCTTAGAAATTGTAAAGACTTTACATAATTTGGAAGTGAGACTGTACCAAACACTGGCCAAAGAAACACAGTCCACTCTATGCCTTCCTTCTCTTTTGTCTGGCCACTCAGAAATACGTCGTCATCTATGATCACTGTTACTTGTCGCCTGCCATCATTTTTATCCATGTATTCACCGTAGTCCGCCTTCCCCCTTTCATATACTGATATACCACATACTGAAATTCTGGGCCATGTCGTCTTTTGACCGACATCCCCCATTTGGTATGCTTCATTTTCTCTTCCTTTCCACATCTCATTTATTGCTAGAGAAAAGACTGTCGTTGGGCTTTTCCCTTCCACCTGTCTCATGACAGGATTCTAACCCACTTGCCCAAGTAACTTGCACATCATTCAGAGACCTTTTGAGAACCAAGTGGCTGGCTATTTCAGGCTCATGTCTTAACAGACTGATGAAGCACCTGTAATACAAATCTCTGAGACACTGCTCCTATTTTTCTTTTCCTACAATCTGATTTTCAGTCTTACCTGTCAGGATGGGCAGGTATCCTTTCTCAAAGTATGTTGGAACATATTTGCCCATACATTTGATAAGGGTTTAATATCCAAAATTCATAAAGAACTTATAAAACTCACCCCCCCCCAAACCAAGTAATTCAACTAAAAAATGAGCAAAGGACCTGAATAGACACTTCTCTGAAGAGGACACACAGAAAGCCAATAGACATATGAAAAGATGTTCAACGTCACTTATCGTCAGAGAAATGCAACATAAAACCACAATGAGATATCATCTCACACCAGTCAAAATGGCCACCATCAATAAATCAACAAACAGTAAGTGCTGGTGAGGATGTGGAGAAAAGGAAAGACCTGTGTACTGTTGGTGGGAATGCAGACTGGTGCAGCCACTGTGGAAAGTAGTGTGGAGTTAACCTCAAAAAAGTAAAAATGGCATTTGCCATGGACATGACCACAAAATATTTTCCCATATTTTTTTCTGCTACATTGCTAGCATTCAGCCTACTAGCGACATGTTATTAACCCTTACTTATTTACATTGCCTAGATCAGCACTGTCCAATATAAATATAACACAAGCTGTATATGATTTAGTAATAGCCATTGGTAATCTGTGAGATTTTATAATAGCAGTCTTAAATTTCTGGAGTCTCCCAGGTGTCCTTTGTCTAGCTAATCCTTCCAGGTTGCTAGTGACCAAACAGTTTGAGATCACAAGATAATCTCTGTTCCTGTTATCTAGGATTGACTGTCATGGTAATTGGGTTGAACAAAGCAGGGATTAAGACTCAAACTCAGGAGGAACTAAGGCCCTGGAAAAATCCAGAACCTGTGAAATTCCTTAAATAAAAAGTATTAACATTAAATAATTGTGCCTGTAGTAAAGATAATTTAAAAACATCTTTACATTAAAAAAATAGAAAATGGAACTATCTTTTGCCCCAGAGATCCCACTTCTGGGAATTTATTCCAAGAAATCTGAACACAAATTCAAAAGAAAATATACACCTCTATGTTCATTGCAGCATTATTTAAAATTGCCAACATATGGAAGCAGCCCAAGTGTCTACCAGTAGATGAGTGGATAAAACAATTATGGCACATTTACACAATGGAATACTACTTGGTTGTGAAAAAAACCAAGCAAATTTTACCCTTTGCCAAAGCATGGGTGGACCTGGAGGACATTATGCTAAGTGAAATAAGTCAGCCAGAAGTTCTAGACAAATATCAAATGATTTCACTCATTTGTAGAATCTAACGAACAAACTGAACTAACACGTAAAATACAAACTCATAGAGAGAAGGCTGACAGCTCTGGGAAGGGGGGTGTGGGGAGTGGAGGGATGGAGCAGAAATGAAAAAGAACTCATGGACCTGGACAACAGTGCGGTAATCAAGAGAGGGTGGGGCGTAGGTGGAGGCAGAAGAGGATATAGGGGGATCAATGGTAATGGAAAAATACAACACCAAAAGAAGACGACACACCTTTGGAATGTCAGTAATCGCCTTTCTCCAGGCCCCTCAGGGTACAACTTCCGGGCAGACCACAGAACCCCTGGTTCTTATCTTGTTTTCCAAATACCATCTCCACGTGCTGTGGCAACTATCCCATAGCCACCAATGTAAAATAAGTATGTATCTCTGCTTTGTTCTTTATCCAATCTCAGACATTTCCCTGTTTGCTTTGTCCTGTCTGCCTAATCTACTACAAAAGAATTTCGTGGACCCCGCCTTAGTCTCTTGCTTTGATTCTGGTGGATAAAGTAAGCGTCAGAACTGCCATTTGCCCAAGCATTTTCTCAAATCTGTTGAGATGTTTCTTCTCAGCAATTGTCAGCTTGGCTCAAATAAATTCTCATAAGACTTTTTCTCAGGTTGGGCATTCTTTTCTCGTCAGCTATAAAAAAAATTATAAAAGCTCAGGTGAGCCAACCGATGAATGTAGACCTAGATCTTGCCCTTGATGTTCTGGAGCAGAGTTGGACTTACTCCTTCACGTTCATTCCTTTCAATTCTGTGCTCTACCACATGGCACTTTATATATATATTTTTTTCAGTCCAGTTCCCTGTGAGATAACACCAAACATTTGAAAAATAGCATTGCAGAGTGATTAAGAGCACGGAATTCTGAAACTAGACTTCTTGGGTCAAAGTTCTGCCTCTGCCACTTCAGAGGTACGTGACCTTCAGAAAAAATTAACCTCCCTGATGTAACCTCCCTGTGGTCTCATCTGTAATGACATCAACAGTGCTTATCTCTCAGTGACAGTGCCCAGCTCTCATAGTGTTGTTACAGAATTAAATGGGTCACTGGAAACACCGGCGGCTCTTTAAGGATTCCCAAACCCAGTCCCCACACAGAGCACTGAAGTCCCAACAATGTCTGGGTGATTAGGTCGTGGGCAGCTGTGTATTTTTGGTTTCCCTAGATTATTCCAGTGCGCGTGCAAGTGTAGAAACCACTGGGTTAAAATATTCTGCGCGCTGGCTTTAATTCTTTAGTGGACATTTCTGGAATTACTGAGTCTCTGGTTCCGCCAAGCCCCTGGACTTCTGACCGTAGTTTATAGAGCAACCCCGTCCCCAAAACTCCCATGGCCCCAGGGCACTTAAAGCCCGGGCGGTTGCACTCTGGGACTGGTAGTAGCCTTAGCTCACCGGCCTCCTTCCCACCACCCATTGGTTTTCGCAGACGCTCCGCCCCAAAGCTTCACCAATCAGCGCGGCGCAGTCGGCTCCCTAAAGGGAGACGTAGGGCGCAGCACCGCAATCACTGCAGGGCGGACGCCCGGAGGTGGTACGTCGGAGGTTGCGCGTCGCGAGCGGTTCCCACGGTCTTGCCACCACTTGTCGCTGTCGCCGCCGTGGTCACCCGCCGCAGGTAACGTCCGGGCCGAGGCCGCGCGTCTGCTGCGGAGGCTCTTGGCCTCACAATCGGGATTTTCAATTCCACTGGCCCTCTGAGTAATCGTTTCTCATTTTGCGAAAGAGAATTTAGGGAACGACGAATCCCCTAGGGAAAACCCGTGACTTCCTCAGCCCGCCATGCGGTGGGCGTGGTGGTGATGGTGGTGGTGGGCTCTCGTTGCACACGCCCCAGCTAGAGGCCTAGGCTTCACCTCCAAGAGCTGGGAGAGAGTTGCTCGAGGGGAGGGGGCTTCTGCTGAGGTCCCACAGCCAGGGAAGGCCCCGCAGGGTCTGGGGCTTGGTTTCGACCTTTACAAAGCAGGGACAGTTCACGCTGTTGCTACTTTCAGCGCGGAGGATTGCACCCTTTTCCAGCCAGTTCTCCATAGGAGCCCTAAGGGGAAGGGCTGATAAGGACAGCACCAAAAATACCCAAAGCTTTATAGAAACATTCGTTCTGAGAAGTCAGGGGAGCCCTCGTTTTCAGAGGACTGAGCTGGTGGGAATTACAGGGTGATACACAACAACCACAGAAGTGAAAGTTAGTTGGGTTTGGTCTCCTGCCCCTGTCAGAGTTGAGGTTATACCACATGGGTTATTCCATGGCAAGAACTGTAGGATCTTGGGGCTGGGAAAACAAAGTTTGTGTCAGGTGTTTCATTTTATAGATAAAAATAAAGCCTCAGGGTTTGAGACTTGCCTTGTGGTATGTAGTGAGTGGAGCAAGCCAACTTTTAGCAGACATTTACTGAGCCCTGGTAAGCTTCTTGAACTGGGATTATCTCTCAAAGGGCAGAGGCAGTCTAAAGTGAACCAGCCCAGGGCTACAAGGGCAGCATTAACCTTGTGGGAAGCGATAGAATTTTGCTGAGAAGGGGATGCTTGAGTGGAGTTTGAGGGATGGGCAGGAGCTAGTGAGATGGAGGAGAAGAATGCTTCACCTGGAAAACAGCATGGCGGAGGCATGGGAAGAGCATCAATTTGGGAGGTGGAGTCTTGGAGTCTGGAGCAAGGGATTTCATGTGGGCGGTGAATTTCATGAACCATGAGAATAGAGAGGTACATCTTTAGAGCCTCCGGTGCTGCAGTAAGAGATTTGGATTTTGTCCCGAAAGCTGAATTCAGTAACTGTGTGTGTATCTTGGATACTCTGTAGTGTAGACAAGTATTGGACGGGGAGCTGCCACGCTAGGGAGCTCATTGGCACTAATTCCCAGGAGAGTTGCTGAGGGTTTTAAGAGGGTTGGAATAGGAAGGGACAGGAGAGGAGGAACTGTGGTGTGAAGGTGGAACACACTGTACCCAGTCCTGTGCAATGAAAATATACTGAAGAGAATTCTGTCCCTTCAATTTTTGAACTCATGACTAGTGAGGAAACGCCCAGCACTTCTTTTTTTAACTGCAAAAGCTGCTTTGTAGCTCATAATTGAATCTCAGTTTATGGTGGGGAAATGGTCACATGTATCAACGGTGTTGAAATCAGAATGATTAAACATTTAAGACTCTTGTAACCCAGGAAATGCAAATTAGACCCATAATTAGGTTACTTTATATCCCATCAGATTAGAAATAAAGTATGAAGAAGGGCAAGATGGCGGACACCAAAGAGGGTGCTTTGCAGCTGGTAGGACCCTCCACTTCCCCAGTTTCGTTTGGTTTTATTCACACAGCCGCCCAAAGACAGCTGGTAGACCAGGGAGTCAGCGTGGCTGTAGCCCCGGAAGAGAATTTCTTAAAGACCACGGAAGGGAGAAAGTTGCAGATGTTAGTCCCTCGGAAGCCCCAAGGATCTCATCATCCCTTTGATCCAGAGTGGCCCCCGAAGGCAGCCACCAGCCCAGGCCCCTGGCCCATCCATAGCTACCTTGGCTGCAGTGGGTGGGCTGCTGTCCCAGGCTGTGAAGGAGGTCATTGAAGAATCCAAGAAGTCTTTGGAGGAGAAAGAGAATGCAGGTGTCTACCCCACGCTGGCTATCCCCATGATCCAGAGGAGATGCACCCCCAGTGAGGAAGGGGCAGACAGCGAACCCCGGGCTGAGACAGCAACCAAGGAGGCTGATTACGAGGCAGTGCCAGTTGAGGCTTATGGGCTGGCCACGTTGCGGGACATGGGCTGGAAACCTGGCCAGGGCATCGGCTGCACCTTCAGGCAGGTGGTGAAGCCCCATGTTGACTCACTGAAGCCTAAAGGGTTAGGGCTGGGTGCCAACCTGACTGAGATCCAGGCCCTGGCCCCCGACCGCCCCTGCCGCCTGCTGGGGCCAGGTGAGGAGCAAGCGGAGGATGAGGAAGACCAGCCTCAGGGACTGGTACCTGGAGGGGCTGTGGTGGTTCTTTCTGGCCCTCACCGAGGCCTCTATGGGAAGGTGGAAGGTCTCAGTCCAGACAGTGTTCGGGCCATGGTTCGTTTGGCCATGGGAGCCGCTTGGTGACTGTTAGTGAGTACAGCCTATGGCCTGTCTCCCAGCAGGAATTTAACAAACACTCCTTGGATCTTGGCCAAGTGAGCATAACTTCTCCAGGGCAAACAGAACAGAACAGCCTCATCAGGGAAAGCCTCCCAGGATCAGGACTGCCCCACCCAGCAGGGAGCGGGAGAGAGAAAGGAAGAGGAGACACCTTCCGGACGGTCAGGGCGAACCTGTGTCCCAGAGTGAGTGAGAGAGCAGCCTCCAGGAGTCAGTACTGGCTGCACAGGGACCCGTGTGTGCGGTTTGTGGACGAGCTGCACAGGGGTGGCCAGTATTACAACACCAAGATGACCATTGAAGACGTCCTCAGTCCAGATACTTGTGCATGTCGGACAGACGATGGCCAGGTCCTGGAAGGTGTCAGGGAAGACATGCTGGAGACACTCGTCTCTAAGGTCCAGGGCAGCCACGTGATGGTGGTGCTGGGGCCACAGGCTGGAAGGGTGGGCTGTCTGCTGGGCAGGGACAGAGAACAGAGCCAGGCTGTGGTTCACCTACGAAGAGAAAATCAGCTGGTGGAGCTCCACTAAGATGCTGTCTGCGAGTACAGGGGCCCCCACGACCCTGACGAAGACTGACCCGTGGACACAGTGTGAAAAGCCAACCTTCGTGGATGTGGGGAGGCCATTGTTTTGTGCTGCATTTGCCGTGCAGCCCTGGGACAGGGACAGGGCACAGAATACCCTGTCAGAAGTTAACGCGGAATAAAAAACATTTCAAATTTTAAAAAAAGATAAATTTGATACTATCAAGAGGTGATAGGTATTTGAGGAAAGGCTTCACTTCTAGTGGAAGTATACCTTAGAGCACTAGCTACCAGCAGAATGGGTATTTCTTTGTCTTTCAGACTTATTTATTTATCTATTTATAGAGCAATAGGAAGGGAAGGAGAAAGAGGGAGAGAAACCAATGTGTGGTTGCCCTTTGCACGCTCCCTCTACAGAGGACCTGGCCTGCAACCCAGGCAGGTGCCCTGACTGGGAATCAAACCGGCAACACTTTGATTTGCAGGTCAGCACTCAATCCACTGAGCCCCACCAGCCAGGGCAGAATGGGTATTTCTTAAGATACCCACTGGTTCCACTTCTAGAAAGTATCCTAGTCAGACATTTGTATACAAGGAGAGGAGTATTAGGATGTTTATTGCAACATAGTTTATAAGGGTAAAAAGATTGAAACCACCTAAATGGCCATTAGTAGGAGACTGTATATAAACAGGATATATTTTTTAAATATATGATAAATTATTGAAAAGAAATGCTGACTTACCAATGTGGTTATCTGTGCCTAATGGCGTAGGGAGAATGAGAAAAAAGATGGGGAAAAATTTTATCTGTGATGTTTCATTTTACAGGAAAAAAGACAACAGATTTAAAAATATTAACAGCCGATGGCCTGAGTGATAAATAACAGGTGTTTTGTGTTATATTTTGTACATTCTGTAGCTCAATACCTACCCTTCAGTTTCTTGAAACATAAATTGGAATAAAGTTTAACTTAATTAACACCTAGCTATAAAAGTTATTTGGAGAGAAGACTACAAACTAGATTGATATCAGATTTCAAAAATAGTCATTTGGGTAAAAGAAATTCAAGTACCAATAAGCAGAGAAAATAAAGCTATGGAAAAACCATTAACCACTGGCCAATTTTACTTTGCTAGATTTCTAAATTCTTCTAACCATTAGTAGATTTAAAAGTGGATTTTTGACTGTCTATTTTGAAATACGATTGTTGGTTATACCTTTTGTAATGTTAAAAGGTTTTTCAAAAAAAAAAGGTAAACTAGACATCTGATGAGTCCTATTGCTATTAAAAGTGGTATATTTATAAGTCGGGGATTTCGGGCGGACCTCTTCGGGAGTGGGGGTGTCCTTCTGCCTACCACACAATGAACTCTGTTGTTTAAAGAAGTGCAGGTGTGGAGAAACTAAGGGATGTCATAAAAAAAAAAGGTAAAGTCATCATAATACAGATATAAAAATGAACTGGTGTTCAAGATTATATTTAACTCATTAATGGAGAAACTTAGTGAGGTGTTACAACCAGTTCTAAGGAGATTCCGAAATACAGACATCTGAATGTTTTTAGACAAGAACTGTTTGCACTGTTGTTATCCACAGCTCTACAGAGTTGTGAAAGATTCCTGTCTAATTTTTAGATATTAGATACCCTAGAACCACATGCTCAAATCTGGAATCTAATTTGCCATCAAATCAGAAATTTTTCCTATGGGAAAACATTGATTATTCTTGAACAAAATACATTCCTTGTTGTTGTTTTTTTTTAAAGATTTTATTTATTTATTTTTAGAGAGGCGGCAAGAAGAGAGGGAGAGAAACATCAGTGTGTGATTGATTGCCTCTCTCAAGCCTCCTACTGGGACCTGGCCCGCAACCCAGGCATGTGCCCTGACTGGGAATCAAAACAGTGATTCTTTGGTTCGCAGGCCTGTGCTCAGTCCACTGATCCACACCAGCCAGGGCTGTTGCCGCTGTTTAAACGGGGAATCAAAGGCTTTGAGAACTGAGTATTCTCTCAATAATTTGCTCTTACCATCTCAGTTCGTAGGTGGACAGTGTGGCCCAGAGGGGCTGTCAACGTCCTCCCTGACTTCCTGTGTGAGAAAGAAACTGCACTGGACACTTGTTACAAACAGTGAGAGGGGTTTTTTACTATATTTCAGCTGTTTCATTAGGGGAGAGACACTCTGGTGTAGAACTGAGCTTAACTCAACACAGCAAGGATGGCTGGGATGTGTGGGCAGGGTGAGAGGTCAGTGGCTGGGAAATTACTAGGAGGAAGTTGATTGGATGTCAGAGGTGGGAGATGCTCACAGGATTTTTGCTGACACTGAGCTCAGCAGGCGAAGCTCACCTCGGGAAGAGGACTTGGTGGAGCTTGGCTCCAGTTGGGTCAAGGAGGAGATCCTTGTCACATGTCCTCCTCTTGCATGTTGTCAGCCAGGCACGACCTGCGTGATGATTTCATCATAAAGTCCTGGAGAGCAGAGAGCAGGATCAAAGACCTTCAGGTCTGGAAGGCTCTTTTCAGACATTACTGCCTAGCATGGCTTTGATGTTTCACTGTTTCTAACCCAGAGCCAGTAGCAGATCAGGTCTGGCAGGGAGAGGTCACAGCCACAGTGGTTAAGGTGTGCGCTTTGGGGCACACCTGGCTTTGACTGCTGGAGATGATCCTGTGACTGGGGCCTGCCTTCTTACATTCCTGGTGATAACTTATCTCAGATGGATCCAGACCTCCCAAGTGGAGTAAGCCCCGCTGATGGTGCACTTCTTGAAGTCAGGCAGAATCCCCCCAGTTGAATCACTGACCTAGCTTAGCCTGGTAACCTGAGGGGGTCACAGGGCCAAGCAGGAACAGCAGAGGGTTAGTCATTGGGCACCGGTGAAATTCTTTCGTAAAGGCATGTCCTTTGACTGTGACTTTGGATGAGCCTGTGAGTGCCTCAGCCTAGCAGGGTGGGGAAAAGGAGCGTGGGTGTCCTCTCGCTGGAGGAAGCGCAGTGCAGGGGCCTGCTCCGTAATCGAGTCCCACGTGTGGGGTGTAGTGTCCCCGTCTGTGGTTACAGGGCCTCCCAGACATTCAAATAACCCTTTTGTGAGCAGCGAGATGATGCAGTGGAAAAAGGCAGTCTCAGGAGTCAGGTCCGTGTCACTTACCAGCAGCGCCACGTCCCAGTGCGTGCCTCCCGCCGAGCCTCAGTTTTCTCAGATGTCTGAAGGGGGTTATGAGACTGGCCCCCGCGACGGTGAGGCATGTGCGAGGCGCGTCACATGTTGTATGGCCCGTGGCAGAGAGTCACGGGTATCCACTCTCCCACCCTGCGGCTGGGGAGACATGCCCCTCTTCCTGTGTGAGAGTGTCAGCTGTCACTTTATCCCTGAAAACATTTAACAGACTAAACAGGTACCCCTAAGGGTGTACCTGGTGCATTGAGGTCTGCCTTAGTCTTTTGAAAGGCTTCACAGTCTCCCCTTTATGAACATGTACCTCAATGATATCACCATTAATGTTGCTTCCAGGATTTTGCTGTTGCAAAGGGGTGAGCTCCTTCAGCTCCTCAAAACCTTCCCCTTTTGCAAAGGGGACCTTGCAGTCCTGCCGGGACTCCCTCTCCTGCCTTACATTTGTCCCCGGTTCTCTTCACCACCTGGCAGCCCCTGTCTTTCCCTGTCCCGTCTCTTCCCACTAGACTGTCAGCTCCGTGAAGGGTTTTGTCCGCCTGGTCCCCTCTCTGGGCCTTGGAGCTCCTGGGCGGGGGGTGCTCAGGCCCTGTCCACAGGACAGGTGGGTGGGCGGACTGCAAAACAGCCGTCAGAGAGCTGGTTTCGCGGGGATCATTGCTTTTTCTTCATGAACTTTCACTTTGCTAAAACAAGAATAATAGGCATGCTCAAGATTATTTTCGACTTAGTCAAGAATGTTGCTGATCAGGTGGAAATTGCCATCTGAGGTCAGCTGCTTTGACTCGGGGTCATTGCTGAGGTGATGGAATGATTACGGTACTTTGACATCTCTCCACCCCAGGCCCCCGTGTCTTCCAAAGTAGTATTAGTACACGCATTTTTCAAGTGGCACCTCCCAGTCAGTGTCAGACTGGGAGGCTTTTAACTCGCCATTATGTTCAAGGAACGACGCTCTGTTTATCAGAGAAACAAAATGATAGAAGAGAGCCATCACCAAATGTTAACTACAAAAACATCACTCTATTTATGAGGCACTTCTCTCACAGAGGAGTAACTTGCTCGTATTTTAGTACAAGAATGACAGATAAACTCGAATTTCTGAAATCAGCCTGGCGGTGCTTTTTCAGTGGCTGTCATGCCGTCTGCTCACAGAGGCAGTTTGGCTGCCAGTGTTCATCCCGTTGCTCACAGCCGGGTCAGCCACTGCATTCTGGTGTTTTATTTGCTCTTTTTGTCCCTAAATGTGAAGGGAAGAAGTTTGCCTGCAGAGGAATGAAGCTCTTCAGGCTTAAGTCACATGAGCCGAACTCAGAAGTGCCGGGTGTGTAAACCAGGGGGCTCGTTTAATGATTGTCCCAGACCGGTGAGGAGCGCAGCCCGGCCGCACCTGCCACGTGGGCGGAGGGCACTTGTTCTCGGCCTAGGGTCTGCTGGAGACTGCTGGCTTTAGTGCCGCAGTGTGGGTGCCGTGTCCAGTGGTCCCCCTATTTTCTCTGGCTGCCGGTGTGATACAGTGGGAGCACTGGGTCACTGTGCCCCAGGGCGGCGTAACCTGCAAAGCTGGGAATATCCACCGTCTAGCCTTCCAGAGAAAAAGTTTGCTGGCTCCTACCCCAGGGAAGGCTTCCCAGGGAGGCCCAGTTGCAGCGAGCAATTAAGGGTGAGCTCAGAATCGGAGAGCTGCTGGGTGGGCCACCACACCTCCTGGTGGGACCCCTGAGGAGCTCTGGGGACAGGGCGCTTTTGCTCCCCAGCTCCCTCCTGCCTGGCCTCGCAGACTCTCTGCTCCGAGTCCCTGCATCTCAGGGACTGTCCTCCCTCTTATCTCCGAACGACAGGCCTGGCCTTCACCTCACAGGAAGGCTGGGTTTTTTCCACAAAGGCATCTTCAGGACACAGGACAGGGTCTGATAATGAATGGTGGCCAGGACTCAGCCTTAGTCTTGCCTTTGGTGCTTCTAAATAGCATTTCAAGGTTTGACAGAGCATAAGACTGGGCGTGCACTTCACTGAGGAAGGTCTTGCGATGCAGAACCATGCATCGCAAGAAAGGAGGTTCCAGGAACTCAGAGGGCGTGGCCGGTCTCTGGCCAGAGCTGCCTCTCGGGAGTCTGAGCGAGTTCCTGTAAAACAAGGGTTGGAGGGTCCACCCTGCCTTGTGTGCAGGATGCATGTGAGCGGGTGAAGCGTTACACAGAGATCGTTACACTGGTACACAGTGATTTGTGCTGCCCGTGTTTGCCCGTTGCTCACCCAGTTCGCTTGCTCACCAATTAATGAACGATCTTTCAGTGTTTGTACTGAACATAGACCGACTTTTGACACATTTTATTATGTAAATAGTATGTATTAATTGTAGTAAAAAGACAAATATGAAAAAGCAAATCATTCTGAATTCCACCTACCACCCAGTAATAACCACTGTTACATTCTTATGTCTGTCTCCCACATTTTTCTATGCATACATTACATGTATGTTCTTTTCTTGCAAACAGTTCATAATAAACCACATGTGGTAGACATACTATGCACTATTTAAAAAATTGATTTCAGAGAAAGGAAGGGAGAGAGGGAGGGAGAGACACTGATGTGTTGTTGCACTTATTGATGCATTCATTGGTTATCCTGGTATGTGTCCTGACCAGGGACTGAACCTGCAGCCTCAGCGTGTCAGGATGATGCTCTAGCCTACCTGGCTGCCTGGCCAGCAGATATTTTTCTAATGCGCTGGATTTTACTGATGAGTTTTATCTGCTGCATACCAAGTTGCGACAAACCTTTAAAGGTTGCTTGGAGACTTTTCTGCATATTCTGTGGTATATACTCATAACTTTAATTTGCGCTGAATTTGCCGGGAGGTATGGGCAGTCCATCCTTTCCCCACCTGGGGGAGAGGGGCGGTAGACCTAAAACGAAAGTTCTGCCGTCACCATTTTCCCCCTCAGCATGTTCTGCCTGATGGTCTGTCCTCCCATTGGACCCGCTTTCTCTGGTGCTTTCTTAGAGTCCAGCAACATTCCGTTCTTCTCACCCCTTTTTTTGTGTGACTCTGCTTTGTCCTTCCCAGGTGTCTGCGGTCGAATGCCGGGGCACAGAATGATTTGGGGAATAGCCATGTTGCTCAGCCTGACGCTGGGAGCGGGGGCTGTTCCCGAGGACGACCCCGAGGACGGAGGCAAGCACTGGGTGGTCATCGTCGCGGGCTCGAACGGCTGGTTTAATTACAGGCACCAGGTGAGAACACGACCGAGCTCTTTCTCATGGCACTGGCGTTCTGTAAACAACCCTGGACCTCGTCAGTAGAACCCACCTTTTAGAGAGCCGTCACACTGCTCTTAGGCTGGCGCACGTGTGTTGGCGAGGCTGTGGAGGAGCGGGGACCCTCGTGTTGCTGGGGGTTGCAGAAGGGTACATTTATTTTGGAAGGCAGTTTGGCAGTTCCTCGAGATGGTTCCCACCAAGTCACATCAGTCTAACCCGAGGTTTTCAGCCTTGGACTATCCGTGTGGCGTGTGGGACCAGGTTATTCTTTGGGGGGCTGCCCTGCACGTTGTAGGATGTTTAGCAGGGACCTTGACCTCTACCCACCAGATAACAGGAGCAACACCTACTTCCTACCCCACTGTTACAAGCAGAAGTGTCTCTGGCTTTTATCAGACACCCCACACCTTCCTCATGTAGATAAGGAAGCCGAGAGAGGAAGTGGCTGCCTCTTCCTCGCAGAGGTCGAGGTGCAGTGGGACGGAAGCCCGGGCCTCTGGTCAGGGCTTCTGGAAGCCCCTGCGCCCTCCAGACCTCCGCCCCACTGCTCTCCCTTCACTGCCTCCTCCCCGGCTTCCCCGGCATCTCCACCACGTCAGTCTGGAACCCACATCTGTAAATGCGTTAAAAGGGCAGCCTCCTGGTGGGAAGGTAAAGTGGTGCAGCCACTTTGGGGAACAGCCTGGCCGTTCCTCAAAAGGTGAAACATAGGGTTACCGTAGCACCCAGCGATGCCACTGCCAGGCAGCTACCAAGAGAAGTGACTGTGCGTTCTCACAAAAACCGGTACTCGAACGATCACAGTGGCACTGTTCGTGACAGCCAAGGTTGTTCGAGGGGACAATCCAAGTGTCCCTCGTCTGATGGATGGGTTCGCAAGACGTGATACATCCGTGCGTGGGGATATTATTTGGTCATTAAAAAAAGAGAGTTGTGATACGTCAACATGGATGACCCTTTAAAATATTACGCTAAATAAAAGGAGCCAGCTGCGAAAGGCCGCGTACTGAGGGTGCCCGGTGTCTGAAATGTCCAGACGAGGGAAATCTGTGGAGGGCAGCGTGCCGGTGGGGACTCCCTCTGGGTGGTGAGGATGCTCCGGAACTAGGGGTGAGTGTGTGCGCTTTGCGAATATACTAGAAACCACAGGGCTGTGTGTTTTAAGGGCTGACTTTTACGGTATGTGAACTGTATATCGCAGTAAAGCTTTAACTTACAAAATCATTTCATCTTTCAATTCTGAGAAACATGATGCACAGGCCATCACAGCACGTGCTGGACCGTCCTCTAGGAGCCTTTTACCCAGCGAACTCACTTAATCCCTGCAGTGGGTTATGGGCGACACTTCCCGTCCTCATTCCCTCTTTGCGAACGAGTGGGCTGAGGCCTAGAAAGGGTCAGCGCGTCACCCAGTGCCGGTCGGTTGGCAAGTGGCGGAGCCTGGATTTGAACCCAGACCGATGAGCTCGGGAGCATCCCTGTCCAGTAGACAGCCATGTGTTTTGTGGTAAATTTTCTAATAGCTACGTTTTTAAAAGTAAAAAAAAAAAAAAAAGTGAAATTTGTCTTATTTAATCCAGTAAATCCAACTATTACCACTTGCAATCGGTATGAAGAGTTGCTAGTAAGATACCATAGTTTTTGCTGTGCACCGAGTCACCGAAGTTCGGTGCCTGTTGACGTTCACGGAGCACTCAGTACAGACCGGCCGCCGTTGCGGCGCTCGTCGCCTTGTGGTCAGTGGCCGCCGTGCCGGCCAGCGCAGGCCTGCACCCCATGTCTTGGAGGCCGGCCAGTGAGCGTGTCCCACGGGTCTGCCTCCCAGGGTGCCCCTTTGCCTGTCAGGGAGGGGTCGTTTAGATAAACTCCTACAAACTCGAAAGTGGTTGGTTATTGAGTGAGTTATTTCTTGAATGGTTTTTGTCTGTTAACTGAATAGGAAACCTGGCTCCATTAAAAACTTGTTGCCACAGCAAAATGACCCCTCTTCCCTTTAATACTTAACAAGAAGCCTGACCCATCTCCCAAGGAGCAACCTGAGTCAGCCCCTGCTCGGCTGTCAGGCCTCCCCTCCCCCTCTAGCCGCCAAGAGAAAGACTCGATGTGGGTCACCGAGAGGCCACAGGCTGACTCAGCAGCCACCCTGGGTTCACACAGCCAACTGGAAAGAAGACTGGTCAGACATCATTACGTACTGGTATCCAGTTACCCTTTGCTGCAACAAAATCCCTTTTTTTCCTCTTAAATGTTGCTAGTTTCCTGGGTAAAGTAATATTGAAATAGGACGGAGGGAGGCAAGGCAGAAGTGGCCACAGACTGCCATCCTGTCCGCCATCGGGAGGGGGCCTGGCCCTGAGAGAGGAAGCGCCTGGGCTGAGTCATTGCCGACCTCGGCGCACGCCCCTGCCGGCTGGCCTGGCTGTGTTCTCAGCCAGCTGCTGACGTGTGCTTTCTGGACTTTGGAGGTTAATCATTAAAAGCACTTGAAAGGACTTTCCCTGTAGAACTTATACAGAAATTTGAAACTAAGATTTCGATAGAGGCTTACACTCCCCTTGGATTAACACAGCACGCTCCCCTTGCATCACCGCAAATTTCTTTGGTGAAGGGAAGATTAGGACACCGGGCACAGTGCAATCAGCGCTTCTCTATTGCTTTTCGAGTGTTCTTTAAACCGGGTTTGGGTTCGACTGAGTGGGATTTCTCAGTTTCCCGTTTTTGGGTGGGCTTTGTGCATGACAGGGAGCGGCTTGGTCCGAAGTGGTGCTGGCGGGACATTCCAAAAGGGGAGGGCAAGACCTGGGGACCACGATTCTCACAGGGTGGGATGGAAGCCAGACTCCGGGGAGTGGGGGGAGGGAGAGTCCTGGAGTGCAGGCACGTGTGGAGACAGCCGTCCAGCCTGTCCTGTCCGGCCTGTCCCGTCCAGCCTGTCCTCGACAGGCTCGTGAAGGGAGGGGGAAATAGGTGACCAGGGGAGGAGTCTGGCTGGCGGGGGGGTTCTCTCAGGGCAGAGGCTTGTGCACACCAGGAAGGAGTGGCTAAGGCCTGGGTGGGGTGGTGGGGGGGTGGTTGCCCAAGCAGGTTGCAAGTGAAGTTCATTGTCACTAGAAGGACTCTGAGGTTCTCAGGAGTTGGGAGGGGAGGTAGGTGTGAGCCAGGTGTTCACCAGATGAAGGGAGTTGCGGGGGAGGTGGAGGTCATTGCTGGGCAGTGGAGGCTGGGAATGAGGAGGAGGGCACAGGAGCCTGACAGTGCTGAGCCTACCCCGTGTGACAGGTCGGGAGTTGGTGGTCGTGGGGGCGAGGACGGGGCCCACCGCCTCCTGCAGGAAGGCTGTGAGAGCACGTGTCCTGGGGCCCAGGGGAGGCCGGCAGGCTGGGAGGTTTCCGCTGAGGCAGAGAGGGAGGGAGAGGTCTTGAACTTGTGTATGCGGGAGGAGGAAGGAAGAGATGGGATGATGGAGGTCACGTGGCCGCGCCACCATGCCTTTGAAAGGCTGTCTTTCATTCTGTGTATTTTGAAACTGGGTGTGATCACCATTTCTTAAAAACAGCCTCACTGAGACATAGTGTTGACATCACACATTCCACCTTTGGTAATGGTATGGTTGAGTGATTTCTAGTAAATTCATACAATGATGTTGGCGTTACCATGGTCCGTGGTAATGTCTAGGACTTCCCGGCTGCATGTAACCATGGGTCTGCTCCCTGTCTCTTGTTTTGCTTTCTCTGGAAACGTCATACATATGGAATCAGGTAGTATGTCGTTTTTTGTGTCTGGCTTCTTTCACTTAGCACAGCCATTTTCAACCTTTTTCAACTCACGGCACACATAAACTGATTGTTAAAATTCTGCAGCACACCTAAAATTTTATTTTTTGCTGACCCGACAAAAAATAGGTATAATTTTGATTCATTCACACCAAACTGCTATTGTTGTGTTGGCTGTTGCTATTTTTTTTTATTTGACAATCTAGGGGAAAAGAGGCCAGTGCCCCTGACTAAATAGTCAGGTGTTGCATGCTTTAAAAATTCTTGCAGCGTAATGGTCGAAAATCACGGACTTGGCATGTGTTTTTGAGATTAATCCATGTGGTTGCAAAGTATCACTTCTGTATTTCAAAAAAGAAACCAGCGCTTTTGAAGAGGTACCTGGTAGGAAGAGATGAGGGTGGAGGGCAGGGCAGGGCTGGGTTAGGGGAAAGCGGCTAGTCCTGGAGGCTGTCCACGCACAGGCCAGATGCAGCACAGGGTCACAGAAGGATGTGGGCCCTGGACTTGCACGGACCTCGGGTGTCATTCCTGCTCCCTTCTGACCTGGCAGCCGTGCACAGCTGCCCCCGGCCTCACCTTGCTGGCACTCAGAGCATGTGGCAGGAGGTGATATGTGTACACCTGTTGGGTGAGTGGACCTCAAGAACCCCTTCTCAGCTCCTTCCTGGCTGGAAAGTGGACTCCCCAGCCTTTCAGAGTGCCTGAGACCAGAGCACTGTGTTTTGGCCTTTGGCCTTTGTTCCAAACAGGTTGATGATCTTACTAGCTGATGGCCAGCCAGAGTGGGAGGGAGTGAGAGCTGGCAGCGTGCAGCAGGAAATCACAGGGTGCATTAGCAAGCCCAGCAGAGCTGACATCTGTGCGGAGCCACGGCAGTCTCAGCTCAGCAGTCCCGAGGGCGCAGTCTTGCTCAATACCCTCCTCTCCCATGTTGCCTTACACGGCCCTTCTGTTTCTAAGAGGAAAAATTCATTTAGGTCACATGTGTTCCAGGGAAATGAGTCAAGTAGCCTTCACCGTCATTTCCGAATCATTTTACTTGGGTGAACCCTACTTTTATTTCTTTTGAGTGCCAGTACGGACTCCACCCTCCGCCCGCATCGGAGTTGTTTCCTGCAGGGCCGGGTCCCTGCCAGGATCTCCCTTTGGGTGTGCTGCTGACGTGCGTAGTCAGCCAAGCTCTGCTGCGGTCTGAAGCCCACCGGGGTCCCCTTGGGTGGGGCTGCAGGGCAGATCGGTGTCGGACACTGCCTGTAACCGGCCTTGGCCCACCTGTCTGGAGCTGCCACGCGACAGGCTGTCCGTGCCTGCCTCCGAGGGGCCTGGCCGAGCGTGGGTCGAGTATCTTCTTCAGTGACCTTTGCTCAAACCTCTATCTTCCTGCCCGGTGGTGATCTTGTTGAAGTACAAGAGTTCTTTGCATATTCTGGGTACAAGTCCTGTTAGGGAATGTTCTGCAAATATTTTCTCGTACTCTCTTGCTTGTCATTTCATTTTCTTAACGGTGCCTTTTAAGTGCTGAAATTTTACACTTTGATGATGTTCGGTTGGTCATTTTTTCCTTTGTAGACGGTGCGTCTGGTGTCGGACCTGTGACATCTTCCCAGTTGCAGCCCAGGCCCCGGATTTCCCGTTATCTCCCAGAAGTTTTCTCTGGCCCTTTCTTTGAAGTCTGTGACCCATTCTGAGTTAACTTGTGTGTGAAATGAGGGCCCGGGTTTATGCTTTGCATGAGGATGTCCAAATTGTCCCAGCACCATTTATCGAAAGCCCGTGTTTTCCCCGGAGTAGTTTTGAAATCAGAAAGTGAAAGTCCTCTAACTTCATTCTTCTCTTTCAAAATTTGTCCAGTCTAGGTCTTTTTCAATTTTATATACATTTTAGGATCATCCTATTTCTGCAAAACCCTGCTGATCGTTAAAAAAAAATTTAATAGTATCAAGTCTCTGATCTGTGACTGAGATGTCGCTCCTTCATCTCGGGTATTTTATCATTTTCAGTGTGTGAGTCTTGCATTTCTTCTGTTGGACTTATTCCTAAGTTTTTGTTTTTGTTTTTGAATGAACCTGCTCTCTGACAGGAGTAATAGATAATGGGGTGATTTGTCACTGAGGCGAGTTGGTGGGTGTGTCTGCTCCCTTCCGCTGTCATTATAGGTGTAGTTTAAATCTGACATAATACTGATTTTCTCTCGAAGGCCCTCGCTACTTGTAGATGCGGTGGTTGGGGTGGGGGTTAAGTCCACATATACATTAACTGCATAAAGAATAAGAGCTTAGATAACGGGGGGTAAAATTAGCGAAAAAATATAAATGTATATGTTTTGAAATAATATAAAGACCTGACCAGTAGGCAGTGATTCCCAGGCTGCCTTCCGTGAGAAAGAACGTGTCGCTCGTTAGAACTCCAAAGCCAGCCTCTCCCCGGGCCGCCCCTAACACCCTCGGGATCGTTTCTCCCAGGCCGACGCGTGCCACGCCTACCAGATCGTCCACCGCAACGGGATCCCTGACGAGCAGATCGTTGTGATGATGTACGACGACATCGCCAACGCTGAAGAGTAAGTACGGTGCCTTCCCTGGTGGCAGAGAACTTCAGGGTGTTGGTTTCAGATGCACAGAGACTCGTGGGATCCTTCGGTGAGTGGCCTGACATGAGGATAGAAACAGACTCACAGGTGAAACCTCACAGGCCTGCCTCCTGTAGAGCTTTGGATGCAACTCTGGGCACCAGGGAGGTGGCGGGGACAGGGGAGACCGGGCGAAGCGGGTCTGGGGCTTCGGAAGCGCTGAAAGCACAGTGAGAAGCTCCTCCTCAGCCTGGAGAGCCCGTCATTGGGTTCTGCGGTGCCTGTTCTGCACTTCCGAGCTGGTGGGCAGCGCAGAGGGGACCCCTCTGCAGCCCGTATGTAGGAGGTTCGTTTGTAGATTGATCCCACCCCCCTTTATATACCTGTTCACTTTTATTATTCGTTGAGTTGATTTTACAAATAGTTCATCACACCTGCTCCCCTGATTTCCGGAGGAGATCAGGAATGGCAGGTATGGGTCCGAAACCTCACCAGCCTGGGTCTCCCCAGCCCCTCGACCCCCCACCGTGTGTGGCCCATGTGGAGGCTGCTGCCCTTTGCTGAGGTCATGGGACAGCTGAAAGTGCATTCTGAGCTTTAAAGCCTAAACTCTTCCACTAACGTCTTATCTCCCATCCTGTCTTTTTCTGCAAGAGGTTTTGCTCTGAGATCTCCGGGTGAGATCTGGCCCCTGGGATACTGGGTGGCTTCCGGCAGGAGGCCGGCACACTTGTTGGGCCGTCGGCTCTGTCCTGGGTGCTGGAACTCGGCCTGTGCCGCTCCTGCCACGCACTTGACTTGTGGGGTGACCGAGATCCCCAAGCTGCTAAGATCTGTTAACACTTGGAGACGGACCGTGTGGGCAGCAGCGTCTTTGACGAGCACGGTGGTTGCCTGTTTGTGTCTGATGGGGCCTCACCGGTGTCCTTTGGTTTGCAGCAACCCCACGCCGGGAGTCGTGATCAACAGGCCCAACGGCTCGGACGTGTACGCGGGCGTGCTGAAGGACTACACCGGGGAGGTGAGGCGCCGGCTGCCCCTCTCTGACGGCTCCCACGTGCGGGCATTTCTAGGGCCAGAACTGCACTAGGCTGGTTTCTGGTCAGTGTTTTGTGTTTAGGATTTGTGCTTGAGGAGTAATTGTGGAGAGTTTTGATAGGAAGTAAAGTGGGGAGAAAAGAAAGTTAGAGGTAAATTGTAGTTTACCAGTCTTCAGTTTCCAGTTTTCTGACACGTTCAGCCTGACAAAACATTCCCTTTGAGGGGTTTCCGGAGGCGCCACCGCTGATCTGGTTCCAGGTCACCTGCGCTCTTGCGGAAACCCATTTTCTCAGCCCCAGCCCCAGCCCCATGCAGAGCATCTTCAGAGTTTGCTGAGATAGGTTTCTGTTAATTATTGTTACCTTAATCACTTCCACACTATCACATCTTTCCCAGTGGCTGAGGCTGTATAAATTGACACATTGTTAAAAATACCACGATGACTCCAGCCTCACAGTTTCATAGTCTCTCTTTCTTAACATCGGACGCATATTTTAGGAACTAATATTCCTGGTGATAGATGTTTCTCTGAAGTGTAGCCATTCTTCCAGTTTCAGTTTTCTCCTTTAAACTCAAGCACAGTTAAAGTGAACGCATCATGCATGTAGTATAGATGACCCATCTTTATGGAGTTATCTCCGTGTGGGTGCACAGAGTGGGCAGACGGAGGTTTGCACTTGTTTGCACGGTGTAATTCTGCCTCACCCTGTTTAAGGCAGCGTTTGAAATTTAAGTGGTGGGATTTTTGGTGGTTTTCTTTTTCTTTTGTGCTTTTCCTTATTGCTTTTTTTTTTTTTTTTTTTTTTTAAATGAGCAAGGATTAGTTTAGGAAATCTCCTTTAAGGACACGGGATGTTCTCCGAGTCAGCCTCTTAGGCAGCCGGCTGGATGTGAGGGGCAGGCCCAGCGCTAACGTTTCTGCTGCCTCTTCACTGTCCCCCCCCAGGGGGTACGCGTTTCGTCTGCCACTTGTCCTGGCTGACCAGCACCTTCGGGCACCTCCACATGGACTTCAGGGTGGTCCAGGAGGAATGGCAGGCTTGCTGAGTGCCATCAGCCACAGACAGGGTGTTATTGGAGAAGAGGTGGGGCACATGCCCCAGAAACATCCTTCTTGACTGGGGTCTGTCCTGGTTCCAGAGCGTTTGCTCTCCAGCCGCGGGCCTTGGAGCTGTGTGGGCAGCTGGCGGCCCAGGCCTGACGCGGGCTCAGCAGACGCTGTGACCGGGAACAGCCCGTCTGATTGCGACTCCCAATGGTTTGCAGGATGTCACACCGGAAAACTTCCTTGCTGTGCTGAGAGGCGATGCGGAAGCGGTGAAGGGCAAAGGCTCTGGAAAGGTCTTGAACAGGTGATGTCTGCCTGCTTTGAGGGGGTCACACTTCTCTGCGTGACCTGGCATCTAGGGCAGAGTTGTTCTGGGCTCCCAGCTTGTTCATCCGGGAGGAACAGCCGTTGCTCTTGCACTAGAGGGGACACCTGGGCACCGGTGAGCTCGTGTGAGGCGGAGCAGAGGGGATGTGTGTGTGGGATGAACCATACTGGTTCTGGGTGAGCTGCTGCGTCACTGCAGCCCTGAGTGGAAGCCCTGGTGAGGGTGGGCAGGTGGGTGTCCCAGACGGTGCAGGCCGAGGGGCCCGGAGGCCAAGCTGGAGCTGCAGGACGCGTTTGGGTGTGTGTCCTGGCCCTCTCACTCATTTGGGGGAGATCTAATGGGGAGCGTGGCTGCCTGGGATGAGGCCCAGTTGCCAAAGGACGCCGCTTTCCAAATCGCACCCGTTCTGTCTGCTGAGCTCCCCGGCACAGAGTGCTCTGGGCCGGCCACGACTCCGAGGCCACGGCGCTGGGATGTGCCTTGCCACTCAGAGTGACTTTGTCCCTGGTCGGGAGACCAGAATCCAGAATCCCCAAATGTCTCGGTTTCCTGGTTAGGGTGACTTTTCAGAGAAGCAGGAACAGGAACTGGAACGGCCACTGACTCTCGTTCATCTGCTCTCTCGGCAGCGGCCCCCGGGACCACGTGTTCGTTTACTTCACTGACCACGGAGCCACGGGGCTACTGGCTTTTCCCAACGATGACGTGAGTTTTCCTTAGCGTTTTACGGGCAAACTAGAGTGGAAAACAAAACCTGGGTGTGGCGTTGCACCCGCGAGGTGGGTTTCTGGTGCCCTGCAGGGTGGTGTGTGGGGACGCACTCAGCAGCTCGAAATCTACCCGGAGGCACCTCTTCGGCCGCTGCCCGCATTTCTGTCCCCGTCCCAGCGTCAGGGGCTGTGTCAGGACTTGGGAGCACAGTGCCAGGCTCGGCACTGCCTCTGAGTGCTCTGGGCAAAGAGAGGGGCGAGGACACACACTCGCCTGCTCCTCGTAAATGCACGAGTGAAACCCTCAAGCTGACATCCTGGGGGTTGCTGGGCGGGGCGCTGTGCGTGTTTCCTGGGGCGGAAGCGTCGTTGGGACCTCGTGGCGGGGTTTTCAGCGAATGGTTTCTTTTGAGGTCTTCATCTGAATCCCAGTGTTCTTACCTCGTAGCTTCACGTGAAGGACCTGAACGAGACCATCCGTTACATGCACAAACACAAAAAGTACCAAAAGGTAACGTCACATTTGGGGTGCCCCTGGGGTAGGTGTGCGAGGGGGCAGCGGAGGCAGAGCCCGCTGCTTTGTGGCTGGCCTCTAGCCCTGGGTGGCTGCGTTTTCTGGAAAGGGTGCCTTTCACTCAGTCTGGTTTCCCAGGGTGAACCTCTTCTGATTCCAGGGCTTTAGCCAGTGGATCAGAATCACCAGGGGTTTTGTTACAATGAAGAGTGGGGGTCCCCGCCCCCAGAGTTTGACTCCGAGATCTGGGGAGAGGCCTGAGAACTCGCCTTTCCAAGTTGGCACTGGTGCTGCTGGTGCAGGGACCCGACTTCAAGGGCTGTCACCAGTTCGGGGCAGGCAGAGAAGAAAACCTTATTTTCACTCTGGCCCTCACTCACCGCGTAGCTCCCCTTACGGAGACTGCATAGCTCCGGCACGGACACCATAGAGATGTGGGAGGACGGCCTGGCGCCGCCTCCCGGTGCCGGTCAGAGAAACAGCTCCCTAGTGTGTCCATGGCTGCACGCACCCTGCATTGATTGTTTCAGCCAACAGATCACTTACAGTGATGGATGAATTCCAGCCCTGGTCTGTGTGACAGCAGCCTCTGTAGCCTCTGGTGGCAGCCTCTCACAGCGGAGATGTCTCCCAAAGCGACAGTGCCTCTTAGAATGGGTGGGGAGAATGGGCAGAGCCGGCGTCACATCGTCACATCGGGGAGAGGTCTGCCTGGCCCGGGTGTGAGGGCGCCCGTCTCGTTCCCCTCCAGATGGTGTTCTACATCGAAGCCTGTGAGTCTGGGTCCATGATGAAGCACCTGCCCACCAACATCAACGGTAGGTGCTGGGAGCCCTGGCCTCTGAGCCAGGCTGGGTGAGCGTGGTGCTCGGGGGTGCCGTGGTCACTGTCTGATTCTGCCAGTGTGAAAAACCAAGTACGCCGCATAAGTGGGCACCCAGGGCAGCCTGGTACGTAGAAGTGGGAGACGGGTGGACAGCGCTGGGCTTCCTCTGCGTCTCGAGGATTAGTGGTCAGAGCAGAAGGAATCTGTATGTGAGTTTCCATCCATGGTGTTCACCCAGCTTCTAGTAAAGCCCTTTAGGTCCAAAATCACAGTCTTTGGACTGGCCTGTCCTTTGCGACGGGGTGCCTGTTGGCTTTGATCTTGGACATGTAACTTACCCTCTTTCACCCTCAGATATTCCCATCTGCAAAATGGGTATAAAGATAGTACCTGCTTGTTTGTTCATCATTTTAGGTTATAACATTTGTCAAGCACAGTTCTGAGCCCATGGTAGATAGGTAGTAAGTGGTTGCTATTGCGTAGGTTCAGCCCATCTGATTCTTCAATAAATGTTAACTTTCTCCAGATACTAAGTTAGGTACCTATTCTTCAAGTCGCCAGAGCTGTTAAAACCTTGCAGCATTGCTTCAGAACTGCTTTGGGTCCTAATAAGCATGCGTGCCTGCTCGTTGCTGCACAGAGTGTCTGTCCACTGGCTTTTCTTCCTTCCACGTGTCATTGTAGTCACATATTGTAACTGAGGGAACAGTGCCGGGACCTCAGTGTCTTCCCACTCCCTGTGGGGACCACTTTGACTACAGCAGGAAAGAGGCAAAGGCTCAAGCTGTGAGCGGAGTCCGCAGCACAGAGCCTCGTGTGACTGGCAGGTGTCTCTGATTCCTCGTAGTGTATGCAACTACTGCTGCCAATCCCGACGAGTCGTCCTACGCCTGTTACTACGACGAGGAGAGGTCCACCTACCTGGGGGACTGGTACAGCGTCAACTGGATGGAAGACTCAGACGTGGTGAGCCCTTCGGGGGGCCGGCTGTTCAGCTGAGGCTTAACCTTCGGCTCTGACGGTCGAGGGACCTCACTGCTTGCACTTTTGCAGGAGGATCTGACCAAGGAGACCCTCCATAAGCAGTACCAGCTGGTGAAATCCCACACCAACACCAGCCACGTCATGCAGTATGGAAACAAGGTAAGTGGGGGGCCTGGCACCCTGGCTCAGTGCCCTGCCCCCTGCCAACTCGCCTGGGCTGTTCACACCCTGGTGAAGAGCAACAGGGGCTGGGTGAGAGCCGGCCAGAGCAGTGGCGGCACTGCCACTCACGGCCACTCCATCTTGGGGACCCTATTTATGTTTTGGAGTCAGACCTTGCCAGGTTCAAACTCTTGAACTTGTCAGACTTTGGGCAAGCTGCATAACCTCTTTGAGTCTCCGTGTCCTCCATGGTCACAGTCCTCTCACACAAGGTAATTAGGGGCATGAAAGAGGGTCATACATCAAAAACATCAAACACAGACCGGATGCGCAGCGAGAAGCCGCTCTGACTTCCGCGCCATGGCCCGGTAGAGCCCCACGCCCGGATCGGCCGGGTCCCGCCTCCCTCTGCAGTAGCAGGGTGCTACCTTTACCCTTTGACTGTAAATTGGAGACTTTTTTCCTTCCAACCAGCTCCAGAAGGGAGCTGCGTAGTTAAATAGGCACGTTCATCAGGGCTGTCTGGGCAGGGCTGCCGCAGGTGGCTGAAGGCTTGGGCCTCAGGTGGCCCCTCTGTGGCTTTAGCTCTGTCCATCCCAGTGGACCCAGGCCTCAGCGGTCACCTGGATAGATGCTTTGCACCTTCCTACTGCTGGGCACTAGGGACAGGGGGTGAGCATGGACGGTGAGCACAGCCCAGGGTCAGCACTGGCTGACAAGACTCTGGGCTGCCCTCCGCCTGACATGCAGGAGAGATTGCCTTTCACAGATGAAACAATAGCAGTTCTGCTGCAGCGGGTGCCAGGCAGGCTGAAGCCCATCGCTGGTGGGCTCAGGGTGCTCTGACCTGCTGCCTCGCCTGCCGCCTCACGCCTTTGCAGGCTGCACCGTGGCCCGAAACCACACGGCGCTAACTGTGAGCCCCCAGGCCCAGGGGACGGTAGACACGTCTGCTCTTCCCACTCCAACAAGCTTCTTTCTCTCCATCTCCCCCCAGTCGATCTCTACCATGAAGCTGATGCAGTTTCAGGGGACGAAACACAAAGCCAGTTCTCCTATCTCGCTGCCTCCAGTCCAACGCCTTGACCTTACCCCAAGCCCCGAGGTGCCCCTCATGATCATGAAAAGGAAACTGATGTCCACCAATGACCTGCAGGAGTCCAGGCGTCTCGTTGAGGCGATCCACAGGCACCTGGAGGTCAGTCCTGGGACGGTCCGCTAGGTCTGGGCCACCGGAACGTGAGCCGGGGCTGCTCAGAGCTGGGATCCAGAACTCTGGGGTCCCAGGGCCTCCTCCTGCCACAGAGTGTGTGGGAACGGAGTAGAAGCCTGTGAGCCGAGGAGTGCTTGTCTTTGTCCTCCGTTGGTAAACAGCCTTGACCTCCGTACTGGCCTTGACCTCTGAACTGGCAGGGAGCGGAGGATATGTTCCCAGTATTCTCCCAAGCGGCTTGTGGCACATGGGCATTTTTTGTTTCTGTTTTCCTTTATACCTAGTTGCTTAGAAGACATTTTTTATTTTATTTATTTATCTTTAGGAGGGAAGGGAAGGGAAGGAGAGGAGAGAAACATCAATGTATGGTTGCTTCTGGTGCATCCCCTGCTGGGAACTGGCCCCTGCTGGGAACTGGCCTGCAACCCAGGCATGTGCCCTGACTGGGAATCGAACCACGATCTTTTGGTTCGCAGGCCCGTGCTCAATCCACTGAGCTATACCATCCAGGGCTAGAGGACATTTTTACCTTGCTGCTTGGTGAGTTAGTAGGTAGTCCTGTTTTGTTTTTTTTCAAGTCCAATCTACAAAAAATTTCTACCCCCTTAGGAAACCATAGTCAGCTTAAAATTCTTTTTAACGTGCTTGGGTTGGCATTCATGATTACCGAGTGTGTTTTCTGCAGTGTCTCAGTTCCTTTGGAACTGGCAGGGTTGTCACATTACAGCGCCGCGGCCGGGCCACTGGCAGCGCAGCCTCTGGGGCCCCAGGCGCAGGTTGGCTGTCCCTTCCTGCAAAGCCGGCTCAGCGTGACCTCCCTCCCCCGTCAGCACAGCCCAGGGGGTGACGTGCTGGAGTGTGGCCTGAGTTTTCTGGGAAAGATAAAAGTTGGTTTTAAATTCACATATAGGGGTAGGCCAAAAGTAAGTTTACAGTTGTGAGTATGCAAAATAGTGGTTATACTCTCACATCATTAATTATTTTGGCATTTTCCACAGGAGCAGCTGTAGACTCAGTTTTGCACACCCTGCATCCAGTATTCCTGGCAGCTGGTCTCTCCAGCTACCGCAGCTCATTACGCAGGACAGACTTTTTGTCGGTGCCACAGTGTGAGATGGCAGTTCTCACACTTTTCTAGTCTTAGACTTACTCACACTGAGTTTCTTCACCCCGAAGAGCTACTGTTTATGTGGGTTATGTCGGTATTTCCAGCATTAGAAATAAACACCAAGATTTTAAAACATTAATTCATTTAGAAAGGACAGTAATAAATCCATTTTGTGTTCATGTATTTTGCATGGAAAATAACCATTTCCTAAAAACAATTTTGGTGAGAAGAGTGGAATTACTTTACATCTTTGCAGGTGTCTTTTCTGCCCAACGTAGTGGAATCAGTGGGTTCACAGCCTTTGTGGCTTTCGGGCTCGGGGTGGTGCGGCCAGAGGCCTTGATTGTGAACGTTGGCTAGTGAGGCAGCAGCTTCCTCCGAATGGTGCTGGTTTTCTTCACTGGGTAGAAAACAGGGTCCACGTTGGTGTCCTTCTGTGTGACCATTTGATGGTTTCTGGAGCAGGCAAAGGTGCAGCAGTCGATTTGGGGTGCAGTTTCTATGTCCCCCTGTCCTCAGAGTGGGCCACGCGTGCCTGCTCTCCAGGTACTTGGGTGTCAGTGTTTCCATCCTGCCTGGACACCCCTAAGGGACAGGACACACGGAAAGCTTTCCAGCCGGCACAGGCGCCCGCGTCACGCCGCCTGCCGCGTGCAGAGTGGGTGTGCGGGCGGCTGTTCCAGCGCACCAGGTGGGGGCCGCGTGGAGAGAAGCTGCTCCCCCCTCCGGGGCCCCCGGAGAGGCTCCGTCAGGTGGGATGTGCCCTGAAAAGACGTGATCCTTACAGAGCAGGAACGTCATGGAGAAGTCAGTGCGGAAGATCGTGTACCTGGTCACGGGGTCTGATGACGAGGTAGAGAGGCTGCTGTCCGAGAGAGCCCCGCTCACGGCGCACGACTGCTACAAGGCGGCGGCCACGCACTTCCGCACGCGCTGCTTCAACTGGCACTCCTCCACGGTGAGCCCCCCCCCCCGCGGGCCGCCCCCTCGTCGTCACCCCAGGAGCTCAGGGACGCCGTCCACTGGACGCCCGTCGGCCGTGTCAGCCTGTGGAAGGTTCCACCCAGGCCCAGGGGCCTGCGGGCTCACTCGGAGGGGAGGAAGGTTGTCCAACTCGCTGACCATCAACCCTGGCGCTGGACACTCTTCCTTGTCCCCGTGCACAGGAGCCGACCAGTCACAGACGCCTCAGCCCTCATTCTCTTCCCACTGCTGCTGGCCCTGCCCTGCTCAGCAGCCACACGGGTTTTTCTCCCTCCCTGGTCTGTCTGACTCCGCCCGAGATTTACTGTTGAGGTCAGGCCCTGGCCTGTGGAGAAAGGGCAGGTGCCGAGTGTTTGCAGACTGCAGGTGTCAGGGTCGGAAGGTCCCTGAAAAGCCCCCTCCCTGGTCCGTGCTGTGAGGGAAGGCGTCAGTCAGCCATGGCCCACAGGTCACAGCATCCCCGGCTCTTTTGGTCTTAACCTGCTGTGATCCAACTTGACATTCACTCACCATCCGTCTCCTGAATGAGGTTTCCAGAAGCAAAGCCAGACGGCCAGGTCAGGTGCTAGGGGCCAGAGGGGAGTGGTGGAGCCATGAGGGTTCTCAGCCTGACCTGGATCCGACTCTCGGTGGCCTGCCAGCCCCCGAGCATGGGGCACTTGAGGGGCATTAAGAGGCGACTGTGTGGTGAGACGATGACCATTTGATCGTGTCTTGTGTCCCTCCAGTACGAGTACGCTTTGCGACACCTGTACGTGCTGGTCAACCTCTGCGAGGAGCTGCACCCCATCGACAGGTCAGTGAGTGTGGGCGGCTGCAGGGTCAGGGTCGCTCTGCCAGCACCAGGGGGCAGCAGCTCTCCGGTCTGCCTGTGGGCAGTGGGCTTCCCCGGCCACGGCCTCTCACTGTGGACAGACGAGGAGGAGATGCATTTCCAGAGCTGATCGTGATGCGGGTCTGTCATAAGTGACCGCCTGTTCCCCGCTGGGTTACGCTTGACTCCGTTTCTTCCAAGTTGGTGTGGCTCACCGACCGTTCCTGTTTCTTACAGGATAAAGTCGGCCATGGACCAGGTGTGCCTGGGCTACTACTGAACTGCCACCTTCCTGCTGCTCTTCCACGTGTGAGCACTTTCCCCGAGAGCACGTGTACCGATTGGAAGTGGATGGAGCTCGAGGGAGGCCGGGCTGCACTCCAGGCTGTTCCCTGCCTCCGGTCTCCCACGGCCTCGTGCAGCGCTCCGGGGGGCACACGGACTTGGCTGGGCACAGCTCCGTGCTGAGAAAGGCCAATCTGCCTTGGGGGACCCTTTTTTGCTTATTTGTTTTCAGGAACAGGAAGTTCACTTGGGCCTCTGTAGCCAGTGAAAGAATCCCTCCCCGTGCCGAGGAGTTTGAAGCTGGGGTCTCTTAAGTCTTCAAAATGATTTTGTTGAAGGGCAATGGAAGCCCCGGATGGAAAGCTGTTGTTAGATACGTTTTGATTGCTTTTATGTTTTATTTCTCAGTAATGAACAAGTCTTGAAAAATAAAGATTGTGACTGAACCCGTGTCTTAATTTCGGGCGTTGACTGTTCAGTGTCTGCCCTGGTCTCCCCTCCCGCCACTCTGCATCTGCCCCTCTGCCCCTTGGACCCCCCAGCCTCCCGTGCCTTTGCCTCCTGGTCCCCCTCTGGCCCCACAGTGCCTTGCCCTCCATCCGACGGATCCTCAAGGTGTATCTGGAAGTGCTGTTTCTCCCTGGAACCTTCTCCAGCTTCCTCCTCCCCCACCCAGCAAAGGTCTTCTCTCCTCTACCTGCACTGTGTTTGCATCTCAACAGCAGGGGCAAGGGCACCCCTTAACCAGGTGTAGGGCATATGGAGAGTGTTTTTAAAGTGATGGAAATGCTCAAAAATCGATTGTTGTGATGATTATAGAACTCTTCAGTGTACGAAACCCCATCGAATTGTACATGCTGAGTGGAAGTTACGTGGTCTGTTCATTATCCTTCAATAAAGCTGTTTTTCAAACTGAGGCATGTAACCTTGACTGGTGTGGCTCAGTTGGTAGGGTGTCGTCTCCCAGTGCAGAAGGTCTCAGGTTTGATTCCTGGTTGGGGCACGTGCCTTTGTTGCAGGCTCAGTCCCTGGTTGTAAAGTCTTTAAAAGATAATAGTAAGTCATATAGCTGGCTGTTTAGATCGTTAGAGAAAAAGCAAAGAAAAAAGGGGACACCTACTAAAATGTACCACTCATGACCTCCTGTCTTCACATTGTGAAACCAGTCTTAACAGTGACTGACGCTGTGAAGTTTAAATGGAAGGTGTGGTGCTGGCAAGTAGGCCTGTCTGACAAGTTCAAGGGCAATGCTTTGTGTCTCATGGGCCAGTTTTTTATCAGCACAAACCTCCTTTCTCAGTGAAAGCCTCCCAGGGCCCATGAAATGTCTTCAGGACACAGGACTCTTACCATCCTACGGATCTGGGTCTAGGGTTTGAAGTAACAAGTGCAAGGCTTTCTGCCTGTGTTTACCACTGACGCTCAACGTCTGCAATCCCCAGGGCCTGCCGATGATGTTCAAAGAAATGCAGATACTGAAAAGCAGAATTTTTAAAGGGCGTGTCTTCAAAGGCCTCACCATACAGGTGGTGAAAGCTCCGTGTTCTCTACAACCGTTAACCGTCCCGTCGCCCCTGCTCCAGGACTTGTCCTCCCTGTGGGAAAAAACGTCTTTCTATTTGTGTACCGACTACGGGAACCCGAATGTCCGTGGCCGTAATGGGTAAAGCAGCTGTGTGGCGTTTGCCAAGTGAACGGCAGTGTCCCGGTCACAGTGCCTTGGTGTTTTTCCTCCTACAGCTCACAGGGTCCCGGTAGAAAGGGGCTCTGGTCCAGGGCCATCTTCTGTTAGGTCTCCAATCAGGCCAACTTCCCAGGTATGTCATGAGCGTTTTTTCCCTAATCGTATCCAAAATGTACAAACCCACTCTGGGACTTGCGGTGTAGAGCACAGAGACACCCCGAGAAAAACAGGGCCGCTCCCCTGCCTCCCGAAACCTCTGCTGCGGTTTGGTGTTCACCCTTGGAGTCCCCTGTCTGCCTGTTTACATACCTGTACAGAAATGATCCTTCAGTTTTTACCTTTTCATACAAAATAAAAAAACATGATGGAACGAGTGTATGACTTAGTGAATTGTAAGAATGTCCTTGTAACTGCCACTCAGGACAAGAAATAGAACTCGCCCAGCTGTGTTGGCCACGATCCTCCAGAGGAACGGACCCCACGGGGTGCGTACACTGTATGCACCTGCAGAGAGGCTCAGCTCGAGGAGCTGGCGCACATGACTGTGCAGACCTGGTCAGTCCAAGATTGCAGGCTGGAGGCCCAGGGAGGGGTCGCAGTTCAAGTCCAAAGGCTGTCTGCTGTCTTGATTGGGGGAAGTCAGTCCTTATTCTAAGATTTTTAGCTGATTGGATGGGGCCCACCCTTAGGAGGGAGGGTGATCTGCTGTACTCAAAGTCTACTGACTTAAGTGTTAATAGCCACAAAACACCTTCACAACTACTTCCAAAATAAATGGCCAAATACCTGGGCACCGCGACCCGGCCAAATCCACCCACAGATTGACCATCACCCTAGCCGCCTCAGAATCCCCCCTTCACGCTGCATTCCAGTCACAGCGCCCCACACCCCAGAACAACCACTCTCTGTGCTCTTTGTGGTCTGATCACACATGTGTCCCCAGACACTGGTCTAGTCTCGCCCACTTTTTAAAAAATGGTCATGCCTTTCGGCCTTCTCCAATCTACGGGTTGCCTCCTCATCCCTTTCTTCCCCTTCCACTTGCTGCTGAAGAACGCGGACTGTTGGTCGTGCAGTTCTGAATCTGGATTGTGCTGACCCTATTCTCATGGTGCCGTTGTGTATGTTTTTCTGACCCCGTGCCTCTTACAGATTAGCAGCCAGATCACTGGCTTGCACAGACCTTGGTCTGATCTGTGCTATTTTCTTCCTTTTTGATGTTAGTAGGGGCTGGTGCTCCTTGTGTAGACCCAGTAATTAGTCAAGGAGTTGCAAACGGATGATGTGCTGTCATTTTATTTTCATTTATTAGCTTCAATAACTTGGTAAGGCATCACTGCTATACCCCCGGCACAGCTGTAGGATAGGCAGGGAAAACAGTTTTGCCCTCTTTACCTGTAGCAGGAAATCTGCCTAGACAAGCCCAGACAAGTCAGAAGGACACAGTCTATTTGTTGAGCCACTAAGATAAAGAGGGGTGAGCAACTAAGTAACTAAGAAGTAAGAACAAAAGAACATTGTATGACCCTATCAGCAGCCCTGTAAACCTGCTTCTGCCACGTAGGCTTAGTAAAATTGCTTCTGCATGCCACACTATATAAACAAGCCCGTGCCGGAGCTCGGGACCCAGAATTTGGAGACTGCCTCCTCTGGGTCCGTATGTGTAAATAAAGTTCCACTCCATACACCCGAAAGCAGCTGAGTTGTTTTCTGTAACATACCTAGTTCTTTTTCTTAACTTGTTCCCTTTCTTCCTTAAGAGGTGATTCAATAAGCCTTCTAAATAGTTTGAACTCCTGGCTTAAACATATATCGAATGGGTTTAAATCCACTGCACTTTTGGAAGCTCAGAGTCCTTTTGATGGCCAATGGAATCTTCCAGGTTGATTCCCTAGTAAACTTCCATAGCTTCCTTCCTAGCTGGTATATCAAGATGACCCATTCTCACCTTGTACTTTCCTGTCCCAGAGATGGGATCAGTTACTTCTTCAAGAAATCCTGGTTTCTTTTCAAGACAACTGAGTGCTGGGAGGGCTCTTTGCTGCTGGGTTGGATAGTGTGTCTAGGTCTTCCTTATGAACAGAGGCAGGGGACTATCAGGTACCTACCTACACATGCATGTATGTAAATGACATGTGCATGTGATAAAATACCTCATCATTCATACTGTTGTTTCCAGTTCAAATTCAGGACTACTAGGTTTTTATCGAGTTTAGTAGATTTTAATTACTCTCATGTATGTTATATCTCTCCCACATCAGGAATGCTGGTTCTCAAGGGTACAGGGAATGATAGAATTAGAATATCTCAAAATAATACTACCATCAATGATTATAATCACTGAAGACATTATGTATGCATGCCACCCGCGTTCCCCACTTTTTAAATGATTGGCACTTTATACTCACTGCAGAGAAGGAAAAGCTAATCATCCTACACCCTGTGGCTCATGTGAAAATAGAACAGGAGTGCAATGATGTAACAGTGAATATTAGTGAACAAAATCACTATCCAGCTGTACTGGGGAATGGGGGCACCCTCTCTGCACGCACAAATGTGCATGTGTATCGGTGTGAAAGGCAGTGTGTGTGGAAAGAAGGAAATTCTCACCCTCTAGAAGAGGAAGTTAGTACTTCAAGGTTAAAACTAAGAAACCAACAAGTAGTTCTGTAAGAATGCTATTTAGAACAAAGACACTGAAATAGAGAACAAGGGGATAGTGACCAGAGGGGAGAAGGAAGGGAAGTTAAGGGGAAAAAGGGGGAGGGATTTGGAGGAACAAATAGGAAGGACACAGGGACGAGAACTAAGGGGGGGGTGGAAATGGGAGGGAGGTGGGGAGCAAGGGGCAGGGGAGGCTGGGATGGGAAAAATAGACAAAAAAACTGTACTTGAAAAATAACTAAATAAAATTTTAAAAAGAAAAAAAAAGAAATCCTTGACAGAAAAGTAACTAAATAAAATTTAATATTATATAAAAAAAAAAGAATGCTATTTAGAGATAAACAAGCAAACAAAACAGTTTGAAGTCTTCTCTAAGCAGAAGGAATTGGGCGGGGCAGGGAAAAGGCAGAGTTCTCTACGAATGAGCCCTGTAGAGATTGTTAAAATACAGCAGGTAAGTAGAGTATTCAGGATGACGGACTGGGCGTGGACAAAGCTCTCGATGCAGGTGGGCACAGAGAGATTTCAGGCACCCGAAGCAGGAAGCTGACTGGGTGTCTCACCTCTGTCCCCCAAAAGTAATCTCGAGGTCACAGGGAACTGGCCACTAAGGAATACAATCTTGCCAAACTATCACCGAGGGAATATTGATCTGTAAGCCTACAGCGCCACCATTTACTGTGCATTTCTCACCTTCCTAGGCACGCTAGTGAAGAATAGAAAAGGACCGACCCCAGTACCATTTATCTCCGCTGTTCCACCATGATATTTAGGGTCCACCATTCTTTGATTTTTTTTTTTTTTTATTGCAAGGAGATAGAAATTTCAGAGACCAGTCAAAAAGCTTCACATGCACTTTAATCTCTCCTAACTGCCACACCCATCTACTGCTATTTGATTTTTAGCCACAGGAATTTCAGCCTTCAGCCAGAATGTGGGAAATGCAAATGTCACCGACTGCACCTCAAGGCTTCCTGGGCCAGGGCCGCTGGGGCTGGCACAGTGATGCGGGGTGTGGGTGAGGAAAGAGATGGGCGGGAAGAGGGGCCTGCAGGGCGCCAGTGCACGCGGGGCGCGTGTTCCTGCCTGTTGCTAACCTCCCCAGGGCAGGGCGGGAGCCCCACCCAGGCCAGGAGGGAATCTCTTCACATTCTACTTTGCAACAAAACGGGGTCCATGCAGGGCACCTGTGCATGAGATTCCTCTGGGCAGAGGCTCTGATGTCGAAGGAAAGGCACAGTGGCCGTGGCGGGCCTACCTTGCTTGAGGAAATGACCTAAAAATTACGTATGCCCTGATGTTTCCTTAAGAGACCCCCCCACCACACTCTTTCCCAGATCAAAGTCAACAGGTTTGCTCAATTACATTAGCATTCTTACTTCCATAGATCCCTTCGGCAGATCACGGGACGACACGGACAGGAGAGAGCCTACACGGAAGGGCAAGGACGTGAGAGGCGTGTTCCAGTTTATGGACATGCGACCACGGGCAGCTCCCTGTGCTTGCTACTAACAGCCGCACCGTGGAAACCCGAAAGTTGCCTTGGTGAGGTCTCCAGCAAAACTTCA